TCGGGTGCTGGAAAACAAGATGGTACAGTGACTGTTGTCTCCAATCTATTCCAGTGGTCCGGAAATGCCGGTAGATGTAAAGGACGGGGTATCGGTCGTCCTCCCGGAAGAGGGAACATGGACAGACCTAGAACCAACCTATCAAACTGTAATGCTGGACGAGGAGGACGCGTTCCGCTGGCTAGAGACAATATGGACTAAGGTCAGTCTGGCGAGATTGTCGCCAGGCTTGATGGATTTGGAATTCCGTAGGACTGTGGAAGCCCGAGGGTGGGTCTACTTGTCCCAGGATGAGGAAAATGTTATGGTTGTGGATCTGGTACTAGGGACCACCCCGGACGAGCTGTTGAAGAAGGCAGAAAGGGAGGTTGTATGGGCCTCATGTCAATAGGCGGAGATGGAAATGGAAAGAGTGGATGTGCGAGTAGAACTCGAGGATAGGGGAAAGGTGAGACGGTCCGTTAGAACAATTAGATGCGTGCTACCTCATTTTCTGATGGACGCAGTCTTCGGAACCCGGAGTAGGTTGGTGCAGATATGCCAGTCCATGACAAACCTTGGGTTGTACCAATGCTCCAGGCGCGACATTATTTTAGGTAGAATAGGTCTAACTTTAGCGTTCCCATGTCTGTACATTCCTGCAACTTCGACAAAAGCAAAGCACTTCCAGTTATTGTTGTTACTCTCGGACGTCACAGACATCCGAACTAAAGTTCAAAAACTTTAAGTCTCTCAATCACATGCATGGTCTGAATAAACTTTTGGCAACGTCAGTCTCATCAGGTCCTTCAATCCAACGAAAGAGTCGGACAGCGTCCGACGTTGAAAAACCCTTCACAACTTGCCCCAAATTGAAAGAAAATGAAGCGCTCAATTTTCAAGTGCATCAGGGCATAATGTTGGCTCCGGATGCACCTAAAACATGTGTTTTCCCTTCACCATGCAGTCCGTTGTGACTCGGACTGCAGTAGGGGTCAATTTCCTAGCCCCATTGCCCCACAACTAGCGCAAAACTGAAGGAAAAAGAAACGACAAACTTTCAAGTGCATCCGGGCTCAATATTGGCATCGGATGCACCTAAAACATGTGTTTCTCTTCCCCTATGCAATCCGTTGTATCTCGGTTGCAGCATGGGCCCTTGATTTTTCTTGATTTTCTCTGCAAAATCAAGAGAAAATCAAAGTCATTTGCAACCGCCATATTCCAGAGTGTATCTGGTCACGAATGTATCTCCACAAGTGCCCGTTTTTTACCGTTAAAACCTTTTTCTCTTTTCTTTTCTTTTCTTTTCTTTTTGGACAGAAGGGACTTGCCAGTCCCTACTTGTAGCAGTCCCTACTGACGACCAACTCACTCACTCCCTCTCACTCCTTTTGTCTTATTCTCCCACCTTTTTCTTTTCTTTTTCTAGCATGCCAAGTGCCAAGTAACCGTTAAGGTCTTTTCTAAACCCTTCCTCTTAGTTTTGGACCTCCCTATGCCCATGGTGCAGTCCGTTATATCTCGGACTGCAACTGTGGCTCCCTCATGCCCATGGGAGCCTCCTTTTACCTCTATTTTTCTCACACAGTGACCCCTTATATTCCGATTTTTTCCCGGAGGCCTATTTTCCACATGGAGTCTCTTTTGACTCCATTTACTTGAGGGAGGCTAATCCGAGATTGTTCGGATTGCTCCCATGCCTCCCACTTCACGTTTCTTTACTTTTTCTTTTCCTTTTTGTCTTTTCGTTTGCTCCCACCAGTGTTTGCACTAGCGGTGTCAATATTCTTGGTCGTCAAGATCTCGATCATGGTGGTGTCTCTTGCTTTAATTATTTTTCCCTCATGCCGCTCCGCAGTTCCTCTTGAGACCTTCTCATGTCCCCGCCACTTGTCCCGTGCTAGTCCTTGACACTTTTTCTGCCCGATGGTCCCGCCGGTACTTGTCCCGGATACCATCATTTTTGCTTAGCTCCACGTGATCCCTGATACTTTTCCTCACGGTGTCCCGGTTTCGTTTGACGTCTACTACCCTGTGGTGGCCCCCTTTCCTTGTCTTTTCTCGAGCCTTGCGCGCGCCAGTTTCTCCTGCCGCGGGGCTTCCAATCCGTGGTTTCCGTTAATTGTCGTAGGTGGTCCCCACGTTGGACCCTTATTTTCTAGTGTCCCGTGGCCACCAAGGCTGTCCACCTTTCGGCTTCACTATTCTCTTATCGCCCGTCTCACCTCGCTTGCTCAGTTCATGGCCCCTCGGGTCCTTGCCATATCGAATTCGAATGACCTTTCTGACCCCATGTTATGCCCCTATGCGCCCACATCCTGTCACTCGCTTGCTTGCCATTGTCGGGTCCCTCACCCTGCGATACTCAGCCCAGGGCATCATTCCTCCCGACGGTCCCATCCTAATCCTTTGTCTTTTCTCTCTCTCTTGTCTCCTTTCTCCGGATTTCTCTATCGTGCACAACTTGGCTATATACCGGCTCTCAAGTGCCAGGATGTTATTCGGAATCCACCGGTCCCGACAACGTGCATATATAGATGTAATTATCATAATAAGAACAATGATATAGCGTCAAGTAAAAAAAAAAAACAAAAAAAAACACATATTCCAAGCATAAACAAAGTCGTCACAACACCAAGCGAAAAAAGAAAGAGAACAAAAGGATCAATTTATGTTTGTTTTTTTTTTAATGCTCATGCTGAGGGAAATGAAGGTTAATTAATTGACACCCGAACGTATTTGTTCGTGTAGATATAAATGTAACGGTCAAGTTGCATGTTCGTGCGAACGTTCAATTGACACCGGATTTATATGTTAATTAATCAAGGCGCGTTGTGTTTTTTTTTGTATGCGTTATTAAAAAAAACGATAACTGTTTTTTCGTATGTTTGATTTATGGTCTTATACGCCCCTTAGTCTTTTAAGGGGCCCATAGGATAGAGTCATACATACCTCATTTGTCCATGTTTACCCTTTCTCGTTGCACGACAGGGCTCATTTTCCTGTTCGTATAAGTTTGTCATTGGGATCGAAACTTCTTTGGCTCCAATTGACATTGATCGAGGCGGCTCCTACTTGCGACCAGCCTTGGGTATTTTAAGTCAGTCATCCGTCCACAAAGAATTCGAAGAAGGTAAAATGTCTTCCCCAGCCTGTTCGAGTCCCGACTGCTAGGAAGTAGTCTGTGGTACCAGTTCTCCTCGTCCAAGCACGAGGCCCGGATCTCAGAAGTAGGCGTTGACTCCTCCACGACAACATTCTCACCCCCATAAATGGGTCTATGCGGCATACCGCACCTTTTGTCAGCCAGCCTCGAAGGTCATGGTTCCAGTAAGAGTCAGTCCTAGCGATCGAGGTCGGTCAAACCGTTGATGGCCTCACCATTCCTCTCCTTTTTTGCTTGGGTGACTTTGATGAGATAAAAGCAAAGAGGGTAGATAATAGGACTTCTTGGAATGGGCTTACGTGAGAGGAGGTCGTTCGGGATAGCATGGGTGCCTTGGGAGAAAGGTTACGCTTATTGCCAACTTTATTCCTTCTTATCAGATTGGTTCTTTCTCCAATATCCATTACAATACATGGTGTGACCCAACCCTCCCAATAGCATTTACTTTTCTTCACATAAGCGCCTTAGTATTTTCAGCGCCTTATGCGGCACGGTCATACGTACCTTGTTTATTCTTGAGCATGCTTTGCTTTCCTTCAATAGCATTAAGTCGGGGACGACCTAAATGTATTCTTGTTTTTTCTTATTGACTATCGAGACTCTTCCTTCAATTATTCACGAATTTACAATTTAATAACACGCAACCTCTCGCAATATTTCCTTTTTTCGAAAGTTCTTATTGATTTCAACCGCTTTTCAATATTATCTTATGTCCATATTTTTTGAAGTATACCCACCTGCTTGTTTTTCAACAATAAGTAGAACAATATAAGAATGGACACAAAAAACCATACAATATGAAAAAATAAAATTCCAAAAACGTTAGCAACTAAAGGTTAAAATTGTCTCATACAACACGAGGTAACATAGTAACAAACGACTAAGGCAACCTTTATTTTCATCTATCAATAATATTTTATCATAATTTCAATAATACTTGTTAAAACAAATGTCGAAAAGAAAAAAAAGAACTCTGAAAGTGAAATACAGAGAGAAAAAGAGAGAGAGAGAATAAGAGAGAGAGAGAGAGAGAGAGAGAGAGAAAGAGAGACAGAAAGAGAGAGAGATGGAGCAAGAGAGAGAGAAAAGACAAATTTTATTGTCTTATTGCAAAACCCTTAGTATCATTATCATTAATGAACAGGGAAAAAAAAAACTGAAACGACATGTTCTTTCAGCTATCACACTCCACCTCTTCATTGTCTATCCATGGCTACGCTGGACCAGACACCGGACCGAATTTCGACCCCGGACCCTGGACCACCTGGGGTCTTCCGGAATTCCGGAAAACCGGAATATTCCGGTTTATCCGGACCGGTCCGGATCCACTGTCCGGATGCCCATCCGGATGCAACATATTTTCCAGAAAAAAAAAAAACAGTATACATACTTCGAACTTGGAAGTTACATTACCTGAGTGAACATTGCGTAGTGTGTTGTTACTGCAGCCGCACAGCATGCACACCTGCACATAGATTCAAAGATGCACAACTTGAACTGTGCAGACTGCACAATGCACAATGCACATTGCACACACAACAAATTAAACTTTGGAGTTTGAATTAACTTAACATTGAACTTTGAAGTTTGAACAAAACCGACAGCTTCTAGACCGCCACTATCCCCTAAGTGATTGCAGAGTCATTCATGATTCACGATTCATGAATGACCACCCCAAAAATGGCAGTCCACTCTCTCTCTCTCTCTCTCTCTCTCTCTCTCTCTCTCTCTCTCTCTCTCTCTCACGAGTCTCTAATGAATCTCTATGACCCCCTCCGCTTTTTTTCAGCCAATGGCCGCTCATCATCGCTTGATGGGTCTGATGAGCCTTCCTCTTCACCATCACGCGACCTCTTCCTTGCCACGCCCTGGTTGCTGCTTGGCAAACCCTCATCATTGCCCCCCTCTACTTCGTTCTACTTAGTTATCTGCGTAGGGTTGTCCTCTCCCTCCGCAGTCATAGCATGTGAACCGTCCAGATCCGTCAATGGGGTTTTTATTGGCCTGCCTCTAGTTTTTTTTTGGCGTTGAGGATCAGGCTGTGCCGACGATGTCCTGGTCTCCTTTTGTGGTGCTGTCGTTGCAGCACCATGAGGCAGTGTGTCACCGCCTCCCTTCTTGTGAGCTCGCATGTGCTCCTCTGTTCTCAAGGTGCGTGCCTTCCTTCGCACATCTGTTTGGAAACGTTTAATTAGGAAGTTGCCTGCCTTCGTCAATCCACGCCAATCCCCGTGTTCACCCTCCTCAATCTCCTCTAGGTTGCATTCTTCATGGCATGGAACAACAGCTTCATCCCCATCTTCATCATCCCCGCCATCAGCAGGTGGAACAATATTGTCACCAGCTGAGGTAAGGCTCTTCAATCGCCGCTCAGCCACCTTCACTCTTTCTTTGGCCTCCTTTTGCTCCTCCTCTGTCGGTGGGTCATCCCATTCAATAAGGTCTTTGGCCCTCTCCGGCATCTGCTGCAGCATGTCAAGCAGCCTCATGTTCCACTTGCTGTACACCAGTTTGTGCATTGTCTCCGGGGCCAGGCCATTGCGCTCTTTGGTGTGAATTGCTGCGAAAAGGCTCCAATTCCTTTCGCAGCCTGAAGCAGACGACCCTTGCCCCAACAGTCGAATGGCATGGGGGTGCAAGTGTTTTAGCTCATTGCACCAGCGCTTCCACCATGCCGCAGGGTTCTGCTTACGGGCTGCATCCATAGCCACCTGCGAGCTGAACTTGCCGATGTTCTGAACCCAACAATCGACCTCATACTCCACCTGGTCGCACACCTCCTGTGACGCCCCTTTGAGCCATGTGTACACCCAGGTGTAGAATCCATCTTGGATCTCTGCATCCTTGTGCGGCTCAGACGACCTGTACTCTGGANGTACACCCAGGTGTAGAATCCATCTTGGATCTCTGCATCCTTGTGCGGCTCAGACGACCTGTACTCTGGATCCAGGAACAGGGCTGCACAATGGACGGGGGTGGTCATGGCATTCCATCTGCGCATGACCATCACCTCCATCTCGTCCCGCTGATCCACTGTCAGATCCTTGTTAACTCGCAGGCGCTCCACTATCCTGTCCATCTTCGCATAAACCTTGCTGATGGTCGAATCGTTGCCATCCACCAGTTTCAACAGCAAAACAATGTCGTAAACGGCATTGATTGCCTTGTTCACAAGATCCCAAAAACCTGCTGCATCGAGTATGATGTCTTCCATCTCGTGGAGGGTCGAGCGCTGCGCATGGGGGACCAACATCGTTGTCCACATATCGTCTGTGACCATAGCCACCAACGCTTTTCGCTGCTTCTTCAAGCGGTCCAGCATGTGAAAGTTGGTGGCGAGACGCGTTGCCGCGGGTCGCAGTAACTGCCTTCCACCTGCATGGATGTAGTAAACATCCCTGACTCGCTGGTGGTTCATGATTAACTTCACCATGTCGTTCGCCTTCGTCACCGTTTCAGCCCCCCACTCTATTTTCCCAATATCGTGCAGCATCAAGTCGAGGCAGTGCGCAGCGCATGGCACATGGAAGGTTAGCGGGAATGTATCCTCCACCAATCTGCCAGCTCTCGCGCACACAGCAGCGTTGTCCATGATCACTCCGACAACACTCTTCTCGCCAACTTCGTGAATCGACTCAGATAAGATGTCGAAGTACGCTGCTACTCCCTTCTCCTTGCCCGACATGCAATACGACTTCCAAAAAAGCACACCGGTCGGAAAGGAGACCATAACATTCAAGTGCGGTCTGCCTCTTATGTCAGTCCAGCCATCAAGCTAGAGCATGCATCCGGTTCGAGCCCAACTTCTCTGCTGCTGCAAACCCCCCTCCTCGACCCGCACCCGGGACATGTCCAACCTCTTCGTCCGCTGCGTGTCATATTTTACGGGGATGAAAGACCGCTCCGCGCCGCGGACCTTCTCTATCATGCGCAAGAAATACTTGCTGCGCACTACGTTGAAGGGGACTCCTTCATAAACCAACCAGTCGTCTATAGAGCGTTGTGCTTCCTCGTTCTTAGAGATTATCGCCCCGCCCTCTTCCAGCGTAGTCTGCCGCACGTTAGTGGTGGTGGAAAAACCTGTGTTGACCCTGTTTTGAGGAGGTTGGGGACTGCTGCTTTCCTCCTCGCCCTCCTGTTCGTACGTGCCCTCGACGTTAGAGGGGCAATCCTGTGACAGTGCCGGTGGCACAACCTTTCCAAGCACTAGCGCAATTCCCTGCAGCCGGCCCAGCTCCCTCTTCTCTCTTTCCTCCGCTGACAGCCTACCGCCTAGCCTGTTCATGTTGCAGCTGGGCCCTTTCGTTGTGGACTTGAAGTGCTCTGCACATCGCTTCGCGGTCCCAGGAAACACCAGTTCGCAGTACCGACATTTCCAATTGTAGTTCCCTTTCCCTGGCTCCCCATGCACGCCAAGTTTATCAAAATGGCGCATGATCGCCTCTGCACCTGCTTTAGGCATCCTGAATATGATGGCGACGACAATGCAGCAGACAGCAAGGAAGGGTGTCAGATCAATTGAAAACCCGGATGCTCTCTCTCTCTCTCTCTCTCTCTCTCTCTCTCTCTCTCTCTCTCTCTCTCTCTCTCTCTCTCTCTCTCTCTC